GAGCAGTTTCTATCATCTCTGGGTCCGAAGAGGACTCGGAGAGCAGTGGGGGGACAAAATCCTTACCAGTCTCATCCTCCTCTTCTATTGCCAGCTGGCAGCAGTGTATGGTTCGAGAACGCCACCGAGCCGCCTCCCGCACCTCCTGCCCCGTGGAACCAGGTAAGCGCTTTACAGCACACTCAGACCCCGCTGGGGGCTGCCTCCCAGAGAGAGCCCCCCCCAGCCAGGTCCCTGTGTTCCACTTCGCTGCCCCACTCCGGGTACGCCTACGGTCCCTTTGGTCCCGCTTGCACGGTCTCTGAGAGCCTGGTTAGCGCTCCCCAGTCCGTCTCGCTGGCTCATTCGGACCATCAGGCTCGGCTATGCGATTCAGTTCGCCCGGCGTCCCCCCAAGTTTCGGGCCATCCACTCCACTAAAGTGAGAGCAGCCGATGCCCATGTCTTGCGCGCGGAGATCGCAGTCCTACTGGCGAAGGACGTGATAGAGCCGGTCCCTCCAGCCGATATGAGGTCAGGGCACTACAGTCCCTACTTCATTGTACCCAAGAAAGGTGGTGCGTTACGACCAATCTTGGACCTGCGAGTTTTAAATCGGAGCCTCCACAAGCTACCGTTCAAAATGCTCACGCACAAACGCATCTTCGAATGCATCCGTCCCCGAGATTGGTTTGCAGCGATCGACCTGAAGGACGCGTACTTTCATGTCTCGATTCTCCCTCGACACAGGCCGTTTCTGCGCTTTGCGTTCGAGGGTCGAGCATATCAGTACAAGGTCCTACCCTTCGGGCTGGCCCTGTCCCCCCGCGTCTTCACGAAAGTCGCGGAGGGGGCCCTTGTTCCCATGAGAGAACAGGGTGTTCGCATCCTCAACTATCTCGACGACTGGCTCATACTAGCACACTCTCGAGATCAGTTATGCGATCACAGGGACCTTGTGCTCAGGCACCTCAGCCAGTTGGGTCTTCGGGTCAACTGGGAGAAGAGCAAACTCGCCCCCGTGCAGAGGATCTCTTTTCTCGGTATGGAGTTGGATTCGGTCGCACAAACAGCGCGCCTCACAGAGCAGCGCGCTCAGTCGGTGCTAGACTGCTTGAACACGTTCAAGGGCAGGACGGCGGTCCCACTGAAATTCTTTCAGAGGCTCCTGGGGCATATGGCAGCAGCAGCAGCGGTAACCCCGCTCGGCCTGCTTCATATGAGACCGCTTCAGCACTGTCTTCACGGCCGAGTCCCGAGATGGGCGTGGCATCACGGCACTCACCGGGTGGCAATCACACCGGCCTGCCGTCAGACCTTCAGCCGGTGGTCAGATCCCTCGTTCCTTCGGGCAGGAGTCCCCTTGGAACAGGTATCCAGGCACGCTGTGGTATTCACAGATGCCTCTGCCACCGGCTGGGGTGCCACGTACAACGGGCATGCAGTATCAGGGGTGTGGACGGACCCTCATCTGCATTGGCATATCAATTGCCTCGAGTTGCTAGCAGTACACCTCACTCTGCGCCGTCTGAAAAGGCCGCTGCAGGGCAGGGATGTGCTGGTCCGTACGGACAACACTGCGACCGTTGCGTATATCAACCGGCAAGGTGGTCTACGCTCCCGTTGCATGTCGCAACTCGCCCGCCATCTCCTCCTCTGGAGTCAGAAGCATCTGAGGTCGCTTCGAGCCATGTATGTCCCCGGCGTGCTCAACCGTGTGGCCGACGAGCTATCACGAGCTGTGCTCCCGGGAGAATGGCGACTCCACCCCCAGGTGGTTCAGCTGATCTGTAGAGAGTTCGGGGAGGCTCAGGTAGACCTGTTTGCCTCCTCAGAGACCTCCCACTGCCAGCTGTTTTACTCCCTGACCGAGGGAACTCTTGGCACGGACGCACTGGCACACAGCTGGCCCCGGGGCCTTCGCAAATATGCGTTTCCCCCAGTGAGCCTTCTTGCACAGACACTGTGCAAAGTCAGGGAGGACAAGGAGCAGGTCCTTCTGGTGGCTCCCTATTGGCCCACCCGGACTTGGTTCTCAGAACTCATGCTCCTTGTGACAGTCCCTCCCTGGCCCATTCCTCTGAGGAAGGATCTTCTGACACAGAGACGGGGCACCCTATGGCGCCCGCGTCCAGACCTCTGGAAACTCCATGTCTGGTCCCTGGACGGGACGCGGAGGTTCTAGGTGACTTACCCACAGAGGTACTTAACACCATCACTTCAGCACGGGCGCCGTCCACAAGACGTGTCTACGCCCTGAAGTGGAACCTGTTCGTAGAGTGGTGTTCTTCTCGCCGAGAAGACCCCCGAAGATGTTCGATAGGTTCCGTGCTTTCCTTCTTGCAGCAAGGGTTGGAGCGAAGACTGTCTCCCTCCACCCTCAAAGTCCATGCTGCTGCTATTTCAGCTTATCACGACCACATCGATGGCAAAACAGTTGGAAAGCACGACCGGAACGGAACCCGACCACTCTTTACTCCCCAAGGCGAGAAGAGAACAGTCGTCCGACTCGTCACGGGAGATGGTAGCGACCAAAGTTGGGCGCTGGCCATCCGTGAGTGAAACGGGGGAAAGCGATGCAAGCGGGGATCCCGCCGGCGTGCACTTGTCTACTGGAACCTCCTCAGGTGGCCTCTGAGAGCGGCACTTCTTACGGCGCGGCGCAGAAGAGGGAGGCGGAGGCGCAGAATCCACGTTGAAGATGGCCAGTCAAGCCCGCAGGGTCGACAAGGCCATGGTGTCGCACTCGGGACATCCGCCCTTGGACAGCACGTGGTCCACGTGGTCTCGGCCCAAGCAGGAAGCGCACAGGATATGGCGGTCCCCGTTGGCGAGAGGGGCTCTGCACGAGCCACAGGAAATACGAGGCATTTGTAGCAACGCCTCGGCTCTTTTAGATAGAGAAAATGTGAGTGTCGCAGCGGCGAACACACACGGAGCGAGCTGCCTTGCCTAGGTCAGCTCGCTGCAGCAAATGCGTTTTAAATTAATACAAATTATAAGGATAATTTTTGGCTTCAGTATTCTCGAGAAAAGAGGTTTCCCCGTAGCATAAGCTAGCTTACGCAACACGAGAGTACTCTCGTAAGAGAACTATCCAACTACATATTTTTTCTAACAGGGTAGTAAAAGTTTAGCTGGCTAATAAGAGCTGTTATGCTGTAGGGCTGTGGCTGAGCTGGTTAAAGCGTAAAGCATTGTTTATACTCGACACGTCCGCATGAGTGCAAAGGTGCGCGCGGCAAAAATGATGTGATTGTAACAGCGCGCGCACCTCCGCATCCCCTAGACACCATTTACTACACACAAATTAATAAATAATAATGCATAAAAATATTGTTTTTTTTCTCTGGTTTTGAAAACTCTTCGCGATCGACTTAAAATGCTTCCAAGATCAACTTGTCGACCGCGATCGACGGGTTGGTAACTCCTGTAACGTTACTGTTTTACGGTCAATAGTACTAATCAGCTGATTGTCAAAGCCATAACACAGCGAGGGAGAAGAACTAAGTTACATGAAACAATCCAACTACATATTTTACACCACTGACAAGGGAAAAGTCACTACTCACGGTGTCTATGGCTAGCTTCTAGCTTTCTGCGGCTTCTCTTTCAAGGTATGAACGAAACGTGCTCTGTAGCGCTGTTTGTTCGCTGTCGGCTACGGTAGAAACATGACGTCACAATATGTCGACCTTCATAGAAGGGGGTGCCTGCGGTTATGTAGATATAAATGTCTCATTCTAAGGTAATTAAAACATAACGGTTCATTGAGTAAGGTCTTTATACACCACTGAACACATAGTTATGGATCTTATATTGCATTTCGGTCAATAGATCCTCAGAAATATTACACATTGCACCTTTAACTGAGTGCCATTTATTTAAAAGTCAAGAGTTGTTGTTTTTTTCCCAAGTGATTTATTATTGAATTGAATGCTCAGATTGACATTTGCTGCATGTCAGTCTGTTTTTTCTCTTCATGACCTGCAGTATTGCTTGGGGAAACAAAATGGTTATAGACCTGTGTGAATGAATTTTCAATAATATTCCATGTGATATACACCATACACTACTTTTCAAAAGTTTAGGATCAGTAAGTTGTTGTTGTTGTTTTTTTAAATAATACTTTTAATTCTTCAAGGACACATTAAATTATTTAAAAGTGAAAGTAAAGACATTAATGTTACAAAATATTTCTATTTCAAATATATTTTCAGAAAAACAATAAGCAGCAACAGTTTTCAACATTGATAATAATAAGAAATGTTTCTTGAGCAGCAAAAAAGTATATTAGAATGTTTTCTAAAGGATCATGTGACACTGAAGACTGGAGTAATGATGCTGATAATTCAGATTTGCATCAGAGGAATAAAATACATTTCAAAATATATTAAGATAGAAAACAGTTATTTTAAATTGTAAAAAATATTTTACAATATTACAGTTTTACTGTATTTTTGATTAAATGCAGCCTTCTCCAAGAGATGTCTTTCAATTCTTGACTTTCAAGAACTTTTAAACATTTAAAAAACATTTAAAAAATCTTACCGAACCCAAATTTTTGAACGGTAGTTTGTCTTTAAATATCTATAAATATCAGTTTACAACTGTTTCACGGTGTTGTTGTTAGGGCCAAATGGAATTCTGTACAGGTCTGGCTGTGTTGATGTCATATTAGGACTCTTTGGTACCTCAGAATACTAATGGTTTATGTCAACAGTGTCATTTAACCAACAACCTTGAGCTGGGTAGACTGGCAGATCAGAAAGGTTAAGAATAGCAGGTTGACGGAATCTGTTTTCCAGATGCTTGATAGGTTGACATTTTGTCAGTCAGGGGCACTGCAGGTTATCATCCTTCCGATTTTTCAAGGTTGTAGTATTTCACCTGCACATCGTAACACTTTTCAGCAACATATTCATCTACAATTATTTTGTCTTAATTGTTTTGTATACACTTTATGGGTGGCCAAATGAAGAATATTCAACATATACTGTTTATTTTACCCTTCCTTACAGGTACTATGCCATCTGTTGCCAGCCACTGGTCTACAGGAATAAGATGACACCACTGAGAGTGACTTTAATGATCGGAGGTTGCTGGATAATCCCAACCGTTATTTCCTTCTTACCCATAATGCAAGGCTGGAACAGTATTGGAATAAATGATTTGGTGAGTCACAACCATCAGATGGTAGACTGTTTGTGCTGATAAGGTTTGTGAAGGCAGTCTGACTTTGATTCTTGTAATGACGTTTCTTTCATTCTCTCTCACCTTGCAATCAAGTGTGGATTATAAAAATGCTTTATAACAAATCCAGGGAGTGATTATGAGAGAAACTTGCGACGCATGTAAAGTCTTTTTCAGGCATCTTCTCCGCTCTATATGCAGTTTTCAAAAGGCAATTATCCATCCATGCATAGAACCCAACGTAAATGTTTCTAGGAAAGCAATTGAAGTACGTAGGGGCTCTCATAAAGATCAGCTTTGAGGGTTGGGATGATTGAGGAGAAAATTAAATGCCACAGTCTCAGGTAGGGAACTTAATTCATTACTTTCCAGTAAACAAACAAAAACGGTCCTGGCTGATGCACCATAATTAAATGCATGCTAGAGAAAGGAAATGTCACGCGGAAAGTAATTCTCTCTGGTTTTCATGTGCATGTTGTAAATGTAATGTTTCATGAGATTCATGTGACACCATTTCTGTTTTACTTTGCCATTTTCGGTCTTTGGAAACAGCTGAGTTGTTTTCTCTGCCCACATTTATAGGATAATATTTGTGTATTCATTTTAGCTTCCTTCAAACTGCATTTTTAATGAGAAAAAGAATCTAAAAGAATGAATGAATGCTTTCTCTTTAAAGTAAACACTTGGCATTCTGCAGTCTGGAGTACCTTGGGTTATTCCACAGGCATTACATTAATAGCTACCTATACTTCACATTTTCACAGAAGCTTCCTGTTCCGCCAAAAGCTCTTCTCAAAGGAACTAATTAGCAGTTTGATATTGAATATCAATGATAGCACGGGCCAAAGTCCAGCTTATTCTGAAAAAGAAAAAAGCATTCTGACACTGATGTGAAATTTGTTTGCAGTCCATGAGAGAAAAATGTACTAAAGTTTCTCATTATTAATGATAGGGTTGGTGTTGGGTTTATGGTTTGGAGGGCTCAGAGTTATGTGAGGAGCAGGCAGGAGAGAGGCTCAAATGAACAGTGATTAATGTTTCTTATCATAACACTTCCTTCTGTGGATCAAATCAATAACAGTCTGTAAACAGTATATATCTGTATCCATGAGTATACTTTGATTCTCACAGACCTAGATCAGATTTGAAAAAATCTGTGTTAATTACTCTCATCAAGCTCTCTTCACTTACAATATCTAGCCATTTAATCTTAGTTGTTGTTGATGTTAATTGTGGGGTTAAGCATGTTTCTAATGTTTGTCACTAATTGCACTTTACTTAAAGCAATAACATTTCTAATTGGAACATGGCTTCATAAAATCTGAAATGGTTTTCTGTGATTTTTAAAGGGCTTATATGACCAAAAAACAGGAATATGTTTGTATGTATTCTACCAATCAAAAGTTTGTGGTGAATATTTAATGTTTTTGAAATGAGTCTCTTATGCTCACCAAGGCTGCATTTATTTGATCAAAAATACATTACAACAGTAATATTGTAAAATATTATTACAATTTTAAAAAACTGGCTTCTATTTGAATATATTTTAAAATGTAATTTTGAAATAACTATGATGTGATTTGATGCGATAACTGTGATGGAAAAGCTACATTTTCATCAGAATTCCTTCAGTCTTCAGTGTCACATGATCCTTCAGAAATCATTTTTAATATGTTGATTTGGTGCTTAAAGGGACATTGTGTAGGAATTTCTCCCATCTAGCGGTGAAATAGTTTTTTGCATTCAAACAAGAGCTATGAGCTATGACAGGATGTCTTCTAATAGCACTTCGTCGAGTTTTCCTTCGGGTGAACAGGTTGCAAGAACAATCATATGCTCTATTAAAATATATTCTTATCGAATTTCTAGGTTACAAAAAGTAAACTTACAAACCTTGTTTTTAGCGCCTTCTCTACATAGCTGCTATTCATCAAATAGCCTGTTTAACTTTTAACTATAAATGTTCTACTGTCTATATAATAAAGTACACAACCAAGCAATGAAAAAAGCTTGTAATTAAGACTGTAACATTGACTTACCTGTCGAGAAGAAAGCAGGACTTCAGCGTCTCTTTTGAAATCTTTCTCCTGCATTAACGTTAGCTCTTTCCACCTGGAAAAAGCTATCCCGTCATAGTTTTTTGTAATCTCCGGTCATGATTCCTTTTACGTTCTATTTTGCACTTTATGTATGGTTCGCCATTAAAAATAACAGTGCAATGCAGCCTTTTAAACTTGCCGGGGCAGTGACAAGCGCCTCTCACTGCTGCTCCTCTGTTGTTTCTGCTGCTTTCAGTTACGTGACGCTGGCTCTGAACGAAAACGCATTTTTGAAACGCGTTGGCCTAGTACTTTTTGTCCCTCTCTTGCTATTATAGTTTTTCAAGATGGCGGAACTACATGGAAGCCCCCGTGGACCTACCCGTCCCACGTATATAAAGATAATAAATTCTTTGTTTACAAGGATAAGTCTGGTAATTGGCAGAGGTATTTGTACACCATTGAGGACATATTTATGAATAAAAATATTGATTTTAGATAATAAAATACCTAAAAAAGTACACATTATTCCTTTAAGAAATGTTTCTTGTTATTATCAATGTTGAAAACAGTTTTGCCGATTGGTATTTTGTGGAAATCAAGATGCATGTTTTTCAGGATGCTTTGATAAATAGAAAGTTCGAAAGAACAGCATTTATTTAAAAAAATATATTGTGTAATATTAGGCTATATAAATGTTTTTACTTTCACTTTTGATCAATTTATTGCATCCTTGCTTAATAAAAGTATTAATTTCTTACCCCAAACTTTTGCTAAATTACTGTCATAAAACAAACAAATTGACACAAGCTCCGGCTTTTTAAACAGCACACTCTTTATACATTTACATTTACATTACATTTAATCATTTTGCAGACATTTTTTATCCAAAGTGATATTACACATGAGGAGAGCAATAGCAGCAATTAAACCAACAACAGGGCAAGTGTTTTTTTTTTTGGATAGAACAAGAGCTTGGACAATAATTTGTGTAGGATGCTCCGATAGGAAAGGCCTGATCTTCCTAGTGTTGTATAATAAGGCATATCTGCAGAACCGGGCAGTTCTAGCAATGTGGTCTGTGAAGTTCAACTGTTCATCAATCACAAATCGGCTGCCCTGGATGGAGTTATGGTTGACGAACCTAGCTGAATGGAGAAGTTGAGCTGGTTGTGTTTTAAGTGAAGGTGGTGGTCTTCCATCCAGCAAGAAATGTATATCAGGCAGGCTGAGATGTGAGCAGCTTCTGTCGGATCATCTGGTTGGAATAAGAGGTGGAGTTGTGTGACATCAGCGTAGCAGTGATAGAAACATACATGTTTCTGAGTGACAGATCCTAGTGATGACATGTAGATGGAGAAGAGAAATGGTCCAAGCACTGAGCCCTGAGGCACACCAGTAGCTAGATGTTGTGACTGAGACAATTCACCCCTCCACGGATCTACTTAAGAGGTAAGACTTGGACCATTGGAGTGCAGTTCCTGAGATTCCCGTCATCTTTGACAAGGAGGATCTGTCAAGCTGCAGATATATCCAGCAACATGAGTACTGAGGATTTGGAAGCTGCTCTTGCCAGTCTTAGAGCTTCAATAACCAAGAGCAGGGCAGTCTCAGTTGAGTGGCTGCAGACTGGTTGTTGTCCAGGAGGTTGAAAAAAGTTATTCTTTTTCTAGATGTGCTGGATTTAGAGTGGGTTTCTTAAGCAGTGGGGTTAACCGTGCCTGCTTAAAGGGGTCATATAATGCCATTTTTGTACAAGCTAATATGATTCTTTAGGGTCTAAATTAAAACTTTGTAATATACTTTAATTAAAAATTCTCATTAGTATTGTAAGAAAACACTTATTTTACCTGGTCAAAAACAGCTCTGTTTTCAGCACGCCGTTTCAGTGCATATGACTTTAAATGATCATGAGCTTTGCTGACTCCGCCTCTCTGTTCTGCGCATACACCGTTTGTAACACAATAACACAATAACCACGCGTTGTTCATTATAAGCGTGGGATTATGAATTTTATTGAGAACGTTGTACATAGAAAACATGCTGTAATGTACCCTGAGTGTAAACCGACGCATTCATCGTGAAGCGTGCAGCTGGCGATTTGCAAAGATTATATAAATATTAATATAAAGATTAATAAAACGTTACACTCACTTTAGTTCTTCTGAAGGTTCAGCAGGAAGACGAATAGGTTCCGATCCTTTATTCAGGTGCAGCTTCTCAGCAAAACCAGCTTTACACTGATCCTCGTTTATAAAGCAGTCCACTGAGAAATGATTCGGCAAATATGAAAGCATTGACGTTGCTCGTGGGGAATATTCCCTTCGAAAACAAACTCAGCCACTGCGTCTTCAGCGGTTCGGATTTAGGAACATTAAAATGACTGCTGTGTTAATTATTGCACCCAAGAACAGAACACCACAATCGCTTAGACGCCATTCTGCTCATAGACAGTGCTCCAGCATATCAACAATGACCGCGCCGGTCCGCGCATACTATGATTGACAGGACGAGCGAGGGCGGGTCTGTGTTGAATCACTGCTGTCAATCATCAATCGCGGGAGGGGCGTCCGTTTTATTGACGTCACAAAAACGAACGGCTCAATTTGAGGCAGGGGAAAACATATAAGGAGATTAAAACAAAAACACTGGATGGATTTTTATCATTATATGATGGTTGTGTACAGGCACTGCCAACACACATTTCAGTACAATCAACTTGTAAAAGTGCATGTACCATTATATGACTCCTTTAAACGATGTGGGAAAGGTACCAGTGTGAAGAGAGGTGTTGATGATATGAGTGAGTGCAGGTACAACTGAAGGAGAAATGGCTTGAAGGAGATGAGTAGGTATAAGATCAAGCGGACAGGTAGTAGAATGATTGGAAAGGATGAGTTTGGAGACTTCTGCCTTTCGAGAGCGGAGAGAAAGAGGGGAGAA